ATCGGGGGGGGGGGGCGAGAAGGAAGAGAGTTCTGACAAAGAACACCTGGCGAGGAACCTTTCAGGAGGACCTCAAAAGGGCAACGTCACCTGGGAAGAGGCTGAGGAGGCAGCAGCTACTCGACCCAGATGGAAACTTGCTGCCCAATGTGCCTGTAGGCACAGGGAGACCTAAGGTCTAAGGTAAGGTTACTACGTGCGTCCAAAACAGAGAAAGAGATTTGTCACAAACACTTGCAAACTCACTTTAGTGCCACCAAGCTTGTCTCTGATCAAGAATAGCTGACAGGCTCACCTCTCTGCAAAAATGTCTCCAGGCCCTAATTAATAGTCACTTAATACATGTACTGAAGCTGCCAATACCATATCGTACAATGTATGTCCGTCATACAACGCACGACGGAAGCACTGCAATTTGACTATTGGTTGTATGGGCTATTTTAGCTAACTTCAAGACATTACAATAATTATCGATACTCACATTAAAATAAAATCCCAGGGTGTGCGACGCCCAGTATATGTCACATTCAGCCTAGGAAAAGCAATGAAACGTTAGATAGTTAACCTGTATCGGTACAAATCATTATAAAAATGGGTTTTCGAACTGTTTCAACTGTCTAGACCTAGTCAAATATTGAAAAGAATGTTGTATACGCTAGAGAATGCAAGGATACAAAGAAAGATATACAGTACATCATTTGTATCATTGATGCTTTTAGTTTACCCAAAGCTTTTTCAATACTCGCTCCGGATGCTCGGGGTCCCAAAACGTGCAGTTTTCGCCGTACGATTTTCTGGACAGCGGCTCCCCTAGCGATTCATCCAGGTACTTCAAGGACTGCCTGCTCTGGTCCACTGTCTGTGGAATAACGAGAAAAAATCTGAAGAACAAAAAATTCAGTACGCCAAAAAAAACAGTTACTGAAGCAATTTTGTAAACGGTCATACGTTTCAGGTAGCATCCACTTTTCGACCGTAACCGTTTCCAAAATTATATCCAGTTGCTTAAATAACTGTTTTTTGTGTATTTTATTACCTGGATGTCTAACCTTTACCGACGAACAGAAAAGTTCTTAGAAATCTAGCAGACAGGTATTTGATCGCTATGGCAGCTGAAAATTGAAAAGTCTGGTTTCGAATATGACAGTGGTGTCATTTTTCTATCCACATATGTTTGCCGGTTCAATTGCAATCACAATCGGGCAGGTGTATTTTTTTCTGCACTTTACTCCTATCCTCGCATATGTGCACCAAGAAATAGATACATTTGCCCTTTAAAATTCGACAAACACTTACCTGGAGTAACAGTAAGGTTAGGCCAAGCTGGTACAGGACAGAAAGACAGAATAATAGCCTCCAGAAAACTGCAACAAGAAAAGAAAGCAAACTAAATTCATTATATCACCATTCCTGTAGATTGTTTTATGTAGCGCTTACCTCAACACACGTGAAATCTAAGCGATACTGAATTCAAACAGATATAAACATAGATCATAGATCATACGAACAGTATCAATGAAAAGAAAAGGAGGTGATTCTTCTTACCCGGATGCGGCCACTTGAATGGTCCATCGGGAGCGAAGGGTACAGCGGAGACCAGAAACACCGTCACAAAAATTGCAATGTACCTACAAATTAAACCAAATGCTTGTGTGTAGAGCGTTAATGTAACTTAGTACTAGCACAACAAACAGGCCGCTAAGAATTTCCGTACTGAGACTTTCCTCAAGTTAGAATGACCAGTCACCGGGGGCACGTGACCGTACGAACAAGTGACGTCAGTAAATGTCATTAAAAGTACCATGTTTGGTTTTCTTTGGTTTATCTATTTCCATTAGTTTCTCCATCTAATTTTGCCTTGAATAACATCAGAAAGTAGAGTCAAGGCGCCATGCCGGGCCATAATTTTCTACATAATATGGATTGAGAATGAATCATGTACATTTGTAACATACCTTTTGGCATCGTGTTTGTCAATTGTTGAAGACGCCTCGACAAACAGTGCGAAGTAGATCAGAACACACGCAAGCACTGCCACTGAGACGCAGCTTTTTCTGAGGAACAAACAAACTGGTGTGTTAGAAATCTTTTGTACAACTTTTTTTACACATTCTGCTCAATACTAAATCTTCATGACAGCAAGTGGAGATTTTTTAGTTAAAGCTAGATACATGGATAAAGTCATCCATATTGCAGTAAACGTACACGCGTATTAGTCCTTCCCGAAATGACGTGGTCCTTCCACTCCCATCTTCCACTCTGTCTGAATTCCACTCCAGTTTCTTCTTCAGTAAGAATTCGAACGGTAGCATGCCGTGGTCATCTGACGTCACCGAGCCGCTGCGTGCTGCTCGGCGGGGGCCGTCTCTCACTTGTCCCGACTGATCGCACACACCGGTACGGTGGACTTCCGTTGAGTTAAACTCGTCGCCCATTTCTACTAGGACCTGTAGGCTATCAAAGATTTTAAAAAATCAGTGTGTGTAACTGTGGTCTTCATCTTTTATCATGCAATATGAGTTAACCCTTGGCTAGCAGTGTTTGGCCAGCACTGCTGCCCCGCCTTCCTGAGTGGGTCCTGCTATAGGGGGCGAAACCCACGAGGACAGAAGGAAGCAGCTGATGAAGCCAAGGAGCAGTAACTCACACTGTGTTAGGTAAATTACAACGCAACATGAGTTATGCTCCCTTCATGATCATTATTTTTCAATGAGTTCGACTGTTGAAGTCAGTTTGCAGGCCTTAATCAAGGTGTACATTCTCAACGTGTGATGTAAATAATGGTTCATACATATTTGCAACTTAAAGAACATTCCTGTTCGAGTTTAAATTTTGCCGTGTTTGTAATGTTTGACTCAAATCTGTAATTGGTCAAATGTTAGAAAGGCTCTTGAATGCTGCTATATTGTAAAATATATCCTTTTATTTGCATGGAATCGGTGATTAGACGATAAATTTCAATGGGGGAGGGGGGCATTTACGGAGCAGACGACAGAATCTCTTTTGCTACATGTAGTAGCAGCAGGGTGGATATTAGCGAAGAACTCACCTCTATATTCATCAGGTAGCACAAATCATACATAAACTTCCAACTTATGTGCTTATACTGATAAAATTAACTTTTACGAAACATTTTTGGCCGATGTAAAAAAGAATCCTTGACCTATAAAAAATAACCGGTCGAACCGCTGGAAACTGTGCGCATGCGTTCTGCGCAGCATTCGTAAGGTTATGTTTGAATTTCGCGCGTTTTTTCAGCAAGATGTACTATTTGCATTATCTAAACTCAGGTACACTTCTTAGTAAGCAAAACTGGTAAAAACAACTTGTTTGTGGTTTGTAGCAATCAAAATTACAACCATTGTATCTTTGTCAATGTTGTAGATTATCAAAGACTATGAAACTAGATGTCAGATATATGTGCACGATCATGCAGTACACACAAAAATTACTATAAGCAGGTAAAACAATAGTGATGGTATGGAAAAATCCATTTTCCTCCATATCGATCATTTTGATGAAATATATCATTCAAATGATGTTATATCATAGCCGATGAATGGATGGATATGATTTTGCTTTGCCTCCTATTTCTAAAAGCCTGTCTGGATCCATAAACGCGATAGATCTGCCGGTAACATTTGGGACACATAAACACACACCATCTGCAGGTGCTTTAAACACTCCGACCCTCCCGGCACATCCGGCCGGAACTATAGCGTTATCTCACCCTCCCGGATGTATGACGTCAGCGCGCGCAGTGTCCCCCTCCCCGGGCCTTCCGCCGTTGCCATGGTGATGGAATACCGGGGGTTAACCTGAAGGTCGTTCCACGGAGCGGTTTGATGCAAATATTGCCCCGCGTCCGGATATTAAACTTATCAATGGCGGCGGCGCGAATTCAGTTGTATGTTTTCTGTACCTGTATCTGTATAGCCGGTATGACTGCCTTTCGGTGTAACACACCAGCTTCGCAGGCACGCGGCGCGGCGGCAGCTGGCTATATTACACCGATCGACTTGTTACACCTAACCCTTGAACTTTTAACTCTATTTATTGTTTTGACTTCTAACTCTAGACAGTGTTTTGCATACTTACGGTCTGTGGATGAGTGTGAAGGTCTTTCAGCACCAAGGAGAGGGACAGCGTTAGAGTGAATGTCTTTCAGTACTAAGGAAATTGGTCCTTTGATTTGGAATGTTATCCGTTATTATTTTTCAACATTTCGTTTTGGATTATTTTTGGCATACATGCTGACAGATATGTATAAACCCAGCCAAGAAAGTGTCAATAATGAAATGATACAACACTTTTTTTTCATGTTCATAATCCGTAAAAGTTTGCGTTTCAGTCGGTCTAAATCGGCAGGTTGTTGTGAACAACTATTGCTCATTTTTACAATGAATGAGCAATTCAGACGGGTTCATTAGGGGCAGGCGGGTTGCGTCATGACGTCATCACGACACAAAAGGTCAGAGGTGACTCACGGAACGGCGGGAAACGGAGCAATCACAGGGCGACCTTGTGTGACCTTTACTGAAGTCTGACTAACGATGTTCGATAATTGACCTTCTAAGAATGAAGGCCGATTCTCCAACCCCCCTTAACTAGTCATACTGGCTGAGTCAAAAACAAGCGAGGTTGTTTATGACGTAGTCAATGTAATCACTACATAGGACTTGTACCCTTAACACCGCTCTCTCTCTCTCTCTCTCTCTTTCTCTATTTCTTTCACACACACACACACACACACACACACACACACACACACACACACACACACACACACACAACACACAATAATGCATTTCAGGAAAAAAGGAGTAAGAAGGAGTTCCCATGAATTTAGATTTGGAAATTTGAAACTTGATTATGTGAGCCGGTACAAATATTTAGGTCTTTTCTTAGATGAACACCTGTCTTTTAATACAGCTACTACTGTTCTTGCAGAGGCTGCAGGGAGAGCTCTAGGTGGGGTTCTGGGTAAAGTCAAGGTTTTAAAAGACTTGGGTTACTACACATACACACAACTCTATGAAGCGTGTGTTTGTCCCATCCTTGACTATGCAGCTGGTGTCTGGGGATACAAAACAACTGAGAAGTGTTCAGTGGTGCAGAACAGAGCAATTAGGTGCTTTTTAGGGGTGCACAGATTTGCACCTGTTCTTGCTACAACAGGGGACATGGGCTGGGCGCCCTGTGAAATAAGACAGCAGGGGTCTGTAATCGCTTTATGGAATAGACTTATCAATATGTCAAATGATAGAATTACAAAACAAGTATTCTTATGGGACTTTCAAAACCATGGCCCCTGGAGTAGAAATGTCCAGGATATATTCTGTAAAGTTGAGCAAGAACATGTTTATCTTAACACATTGAGGGGGTGACATTAGGCAAATTAAAGGGAAGCTTTTTGACTTATACAAGCAAGACTGGGCAACCAAAGTACTTTTGAAACCTAAACTTAGAACATATGCTCTGTTTAAAGATACTTACTGTATAGAAAAATATGTAACTATGTGTCTCCCCAAACGCCAAGATCATTGTGTGCGCAGCTGCGAGCTGGTATTTTACCTATCAATATTGAAACTGGACGGTACCAGGGAATTCCTGAGGAAAGTAGAATGTGTACCATGTGTGACCTGGATGAAGTAGAAAACGAAACACATTTTCTTTTTTACTGTCCCTTTTATGACGATCTTCGAGAAAATATGTTTCGTAAAATTTATACAAAATCACCTGACATCATATGGGAAAGAGATGAAAATAGAATTAAGTGGCTCTTTAACGAGGGTGTATCTGACCTAGCAACTTTCATTTATCGAGCGTGGGGGAAAAGAAGAAAATACCTGTATTCATAACACATCAACAGTTCTCACCTTTTGTTACTTCTACACATTTGTTTTCTCTTATTTATATTTGATTTACCTTATGTACTTGTATTTATTTTGTGAAATCTTGGTTCTTTATCAAGTTTATGTACAGATTTGCATTTATGATCTGTTATGAGCTCACTCTGTTCTGCTTAAATTGTATATAGCCTAACTTTATTTGTGTTCACTTTTTTGTTTGGATTCTGTACCTCTGTTTCTCTGTTGTTTATGTATTATTTATTCTCAAACGGTGTCGTATAAGCCCACACGGGCTGGGCGTGGTATGCGCACGACACGAAAATAAAGTTTCATTCATTCATTCATTCATTCATTCATTCATTCATTCATTCATTCATTGTACCGCACCAATGCGATAAATGAATGTGTACAAATATAAATCCGTGTGCTTAAATTCATAAATCTTGAATATTGTTATACTACATGTATATCCATCCCACTTAAGCCCAAGATCTTCCCATCTTTATCGAGACGAGCTAATCG